CAGGAATGTCACAACATATACAGCTTCTAATTACATGGGGGCAAGGAAAGCTCTGAGGGGACCTAGAATAAGGGAGAAACTCCCTGAAAAGTTTCTCATTATATTTAAATGCATTGGGCTGGGTTGAGATGGCTTTTTAAACTACATTAGTTAAACACCTTGCAAATACTTTTGTTTTGGTTTGCAGGGCCTTTTTTGAGTTCTTCTGGAACTAGTTATTAAATGATTTGAACAAGTCTAATTTAAAGTGAAATAAGAACCTCCATGTAGCCTTTTATGTTCCTTTAATTAGATCACTTTACAATTGTACCTTTAGTTCGACTGATACAAATTTTTTGTGTAGGCAGAGTGCAGAAAGCTCAGCTGAGAAGCGTGTGGCTTCAACACAAGAAAAATTGGTTCCGGGAAAGCTCTTGAGATAGAGCACAAATCTAGGGATTTGACAATGGAACAAGCAGGAAGCTTGGCTCTTTCCCCACTCGTGGTTAGGAGTCTGCTCATCACCCCATTTTGTATTGCTGTCTGATTTCCTGCTCAGCTCATTTATACAAACACGTCGTGCCCTTGAGTTTGCAGAAAGCTGAGTTGTCTGAGACTTCACTTAGTGGTTCAACAGCTAATGTGAAAGGGGGAAAGACAAATAGTGGAGAACCATTGATTATGCTGAGCTATTAGAGGAGCGGTATGGACATGGCAACACAGTTGCTGGGGTTTTGTCCTTGATCAAAGAAAACTTTATTTTTCCAGCTAGCATGCTCAGTGATTTTGTTCCTATATTGTTCATTAGAACAGTGTGCTAGTATCACCGGACAGATTGGCTGCGTGTCCGCTTTGACAGCAGCCTGTGAATAACTGGGTGGACTGCCTGGTGTGACTGCATGTGCAAAACCCATGTGGGTTCCCTTTCTGCTTTCAGGGATTGTTATGTTTGATCCTGTGATTCCTGCAGACAGAACCCTAATTCCTTCTCCGCCACCTCGTCCCAAAAACCCCGTGTTTGATGATGAGGAGAAATCCAAGGTACAGTGAAGACATGTATCGTGATCACTAATGAAAAGTGATTACTTAATGCATATTTAGAATAAGGAAGTAAAGTATGCTAATTTGGCTTTTATTTTTGGGGTGGTGGTGTGTACTTTCACAGAACTCATTGCTTTGTCCACTTAGCTAACCTGAAGTTCCAGCTAAGGCCTTGTCTGTGCTACCATCATGAGATTATTCTTGGTTGAAGTGCCATCCTGCTGTAGTACTAGAAAGCAGAGAATGTTTCACACACAGGGCCAAAAGTGATGGATGGGAGTAAAAATTATCTAGTGTCAGAAGTCTCAGATTTCACAGATAGGTCCTGTGTAGAAGCAAGAATGCAACAACTCACATGAATTAATAAACCATAAATTACTCCTGCCGAAATCACTCTAACGATGAAAGCAGTGTAAGCTTTGTAATCGTGGGCTGTATCTGTTTTCCCCTGAATTATTCACTTAGATTCCTTTTGCTGCTTCCTTTTTCCAAAGGGTCTTTATTTGTTTCCTGAATATCCTCTTCTTTTCTTACAGCTTCTAGCCAAACTGCTGAAAAGCAAAAACCCAGATGATTTACAAGAGGCCAACAAGCTTATAAAATCCATGGTAAAAGAGGTAAGAAATTCCTGTAGGATTGGCCCCAGTCAGCAGTCTGATTTCCAAGTTTTAAGCAATTTGACTCCAAAATGGTGGAGAGCTTTAGGATTGTGTGAATGGCAGCACCTGGGTTTTTGAGGCTCTGGGAGCATTGTATTAGTATATTCTTTAGTTAAGCTGTGGGCACTGAATGAGACAGACCATCAGTGACATCCGACCTTTTATTATTTTTAAGGTACATGACGCTTCTAACTTGCATCTAGTCCCCGTGGTTACCAACATAAATGGGTGCCATCTGATGACTTAGTAGGGCTCTGTATTATATGAATTTGTTGAAATTTTGACTCCATCTCACAAGTGTGAGATGTTTGTCTACAGTTGGTATGTCTGATGGAGGACAGAGGAAGAAGGGGCAAGGATTGAATGCCCCTTGTTGTAATTAACTATGTTCTCATCACTCAAGATGGTATTTCACATCAGGGTTTGGTGGGACCATCGCAGTACCACCCCTGGACACTGAGGACTGAGTCATTGGACTGGGTCTTCTCACAAGCAGGGTTCATGGAAACACCTTCCTGTTTGTAGAGCTGTGATGAATCCACCCATGGCAGTCATTAGAAACTCTGGACTCCAGGAAATGACTCACTCTGTTTCTGGAAAAAAAAAACAAAAACGGATAGCTTCTAGACTGGAGAGGATGTATAGGTTGCTGCAATGTTTCCATTCAGGCTTCTCCTGTCCCTGGCCCAGACTTTCCTTTAGTTGGCATCTCAAATTGGAGATGGGTGGACATTTTCTACCAGAGAGTGCTTATTGTTCCTAGTAAATGTTTTGCTTCAAACACATATTTTTCATAAAATGGCATCAAGTGACCGAAACAGAAAAAAAGCTTCTGGAAAGGTCAGAAAGGAACTTTTGGGAACTTTTCTACTTTTAGTGATATAATTACACATTAAAGTCTATTTAATGAGACTTTTTGGAAATACGGGTTTTTCTATCATTTCAGAATGGTGGTGAATAGATAATAAAATAGCAAAGCTTCACATGAATGGAGGGGGTTTGGTTTTTTTTTTTTTTTTCTAGCTTACCCTTAAATAGATGTTAGTTGACATGATGTACAGATAATACCTGCTGTTGTGATACTGTGTACCTTTACAGGGAAACTCATGTTTTATGTCTGTGTTTTATACCCTGAAGGATGAGGCTCGGATTCAAAAAGTGACAAAACGCATGCACACGCTGGAGGAAGTAAATAACAATGTGAAGCTGCTGAATGAGATGTTGGTTCATTACAGCAAAGAGGACTCATCAGAGGCCGATAGGGAGCTCATGAAGGTGGGTCTTTAGCTGTTCCTCCTTCCCAAAACTCCTCAGTCAGTCCTTTCTTCTTACAGACTTGAGTTTTGCAGAGAATTACAAATGGTGCAGTAAAATGGAGAGCAATGTCGAGACACAAGAGCAGTCATTGGAAACAGCAGGAAAGAAGATAACAATGTTTTCAACATCTTTCACCAAAGGACTGAGTGCCCTGCAAGGACAGTGGGTAGTAGCTCAGTTTTGCACATGCTTGAAATGAGGTACAGCTGTTCTCCAAGGATGCAGTGTGGCAGAATCAAGAAGCCGCAGTTTGTAATTCTAGTTCCTATTAGGACACACCGATTACAGATAATAACTGTCCCTCACAGTACAGTGGATGGATAAACTAAAGGCTGTGAATGGGACATAAAATAAGTCCTCCCCCTCAAAGGAAGAGTTTTAGCTAGTCTTAAAAGGTTGGGAGAACATCAAGAAGGAAAAAATCAAAATAGACACCAGGGATGGTTGGATAGGCCCAAGGCCTTGTAGAGTAATGCCTTATCTAATTAAACAATTATTATTAAAAGATTGTATTTACCTAATAAAAGTTAAAACTGCTTGTGTTTAACAACAAGCTCCTGAAATGATGGTAGGAAGCTTAAGAAACAGGCTTGTTTTGTGGAGCATTTCCTTCTTGCCACCTTTCTTTTGCGTGGTTGCAGACTCTGAGTAGAAGTTGCAGCACAATTGAAGCATAATTATTGAAGCACAATTCTGCTCTTCCTCAGGCTTTTAGGGACTACTTTAATACAAGGAAGGAACATCTCTTTTGGGTTAGAGCTTGCCATAAGTGCTGATGCGAGGGAGGACTGAGCGATGTTGTGTTGGAAGTGCAGATTGTGTTTAGACTCCCAGGCTAATGTAATGCTTCACAGCTCTGCTAATAGGGAAGGGACAGGGGATCTTGGTTGTGCAGCCACACTAGCATGTTCAGCACAGGGAGACTGGTTTCTCTGTTCTGGGCTTTCCAGTGCATGCTTGGGGAGTCGTTCTGTGCTGACTGGTATTGCTGACAGTGGCTCCTGACTGATGAAATCCTTTGTCCTAATCTGTCTTCCTAGGAGCTCTATGAAAGGTGTGAAACCAAAAGGCGGACGTTATTCAAGCTGGCCAGTGAGACAGAGGATAATGACAGCAGTTTGGGTAAATGAAGTTATACTGCTCCTTTTTTAATTGCTTTTGTGACCTGTGACTGTGCAAGGGTTCAGCAAGGGAATGGCTGCTGGAAAGACGCCTCTTCACTGTGAACGCGCTTTGCTTTGAGCAAGCAGATAAAAGACAAGATCCATGCCTCTTTTTGCTTATCGTTTAAATTCAGGCAAGGACTTGACAGTAGAGTTGGTGGTTGGGGAGGCTGGGGGCGATAATGGGGGATGGCTGCTGCTTTAGAAGGGAAAGGGAGTTGCCGTGGGGAACAAAGCCTCTGGTTCATTTTTTTGCTGTTACTGTAATGTGCACAGACCTAGAAAGGTCAGGGTATTGCTTAGAGAAGCATGGCAAAGGCAGAGAGTAATGGAGCTCATAGCCAAATAATTATGTTTTTTCTCGCTGATTATTTAGTTGATAACTGAGTACTCTCGGCATTAGTGGGAGCAAAGTTACTAAAGTCTTGGAAGTCGTTTTTGTCTCTCTTGCATGTAGGGGATATTCTGCAGGCCAGTGACAATTTATCCCGTGTGATAAATTCCTATAAAAAAATAATAGAGGGGCAAGTGATCAATGGTGAAGTGGATCTCCCTGTGATGTCTGTAGTGGAAGGTGAGTTCCTGGGAAGCAAACTGTTGAATTTTGAATCCTGTAATTGTAAATCTTTTGGACGGGGTTTCCTATTAATTGTGGTGGTCCTTGTGGCTGACAGTTTGTGAATCAGAGGGGGATAAGACATATCCTAAGCAGTGGATAGACAATTCTGGACATGAGCAATAGTGCTGCAGCTTTGCATTTTCCATTGCTCATTTCATATTATTGAAACTTTTGATAACCTCAGTAGCAAACCTGCATCTGAACAGTTTGTGTGGCTGGAAGTTTTCATACATTTTCCTCTCCACATTTGTCCTGTTTATTAATGGTGACGTGCAGGAAGGGGACAATTTTCTTAAAAGGATGACAGCAGGAGAGTGGGCGCCAGGCCAGGGGTCCTGGCTTTGCCAGCAATTCCATTTGTGAATTTAGGCCAGTCTCCCACTTCCCACGTAGTTTCACCATTGAAAGCTCTGGATATGTGTGTGGCAGAATTACCATTTGGGAGTCACTTACATATTTCTGCATGGAGAGCAGGAGTCGAATGCATAATGCTGCCTGACAGTATCTTATTGGGACAAGACTGTCCTAAATATGAAGGGAATTCTAGATCCAGATAGTACGAATTTTCCTCAGCTCTGTAGCTCTCTGGTGCCTTTGTTTATTGTAATTCTGTAGGATCTCCCAAAGCCTCACATGAGCTCAAAAGATTTTGAAAAGACTACAAATTATGCTACAAGAAGCACTGGGGAAAGAGCAGTGATTGGAGCAGATGTTGATTTTTCAGATAGACATTTCCTAAGTGTCTGCCTTGGTTTAAGTGGCATGTGGACAGCAAATGGTTAGGTGGAAAGCATGTGGGCTTTCTCTCTTATAAAGAGCCACAAGCCATGATCAAATGAGGATCTGTGTTATCTAAACATCTCTCTGATAATTTCTTCTGTACATTGGGTTTGCTCTGAGCGTTTCGCCTTCTTTCCTAGTAGTGCTCTTCTCCTGTCCGCTGCAGGGAGTAACTCCACAAGTAACCTCAACACCCTCATTGACCTTGCTGGATTGGATGTCACCAGCGCCCAGCCACCTCCAATGCCACCCACCACCCTGACGCCAGCCCCCACAGTAGCCCCAGCCCCAGCAGAAATCCCCATTCTCCCGCCTCCTCCCCAGACGTTCGCACAGTTGCGGAGCAGTTCCTCGAGCCAAGTGGAAGCCGCACCCGCGCAGCAGAGCAGCACGGCCAACTCCCTCTCCTTGCTGGATGAGGAGCTTCTGTGCTTAGGTAGGACACTGAGGGGCCCAGAAAAGGGCTACTCAATCCATACCTAAAAAAGACTGCTTTCTTCCTTCAGCATGAGTGTGCGGGCTGGCTGCGCACGTGGCCTGCCTAAAAGGAGCATGAGGTGCCTTTTGTTTCTAGAGGAGTCCAGGGGACGCTCCCGTGCATCGTTCTGAATATAAGACCTGATCAGTGAGTCAGCATTAAAAACTCTGGTCTTCCCAGAGTACGGTGCAAGTGAAATAACTGTTGAGTGTAATTGCAGTCTGATATCTGCAGGTGCTTGGACGTGCCAGACGTGCAGGCTGCAGTTTGGTACAGATTTCACCCCTGACTTTGCGGCTGTGCTCAAGAGCAAGGTACCCTAGAGGGGTTGCGGATAGGAGCCTGCAGAATGCCTGCCTGTGGAGCCCAGATATGAACAGCAGAAGACATTATAAATCAGGAAGGGTTAGAAGAGCTGTGCACAGGGCGTGACTGTCAGCTACTGGTGCTGTCAGTCTGTTTTCCTCATCATAGACTTGCAGCCCATTTCAGTCTTTCATCAGGTTCTTGGGCTCTGGCAGGGCTGAATCAAGTAGTTCAGTGGTACTGAAACAATTGCCAAGGGAGGACACCTAACTCATTTTCTCCTCTGGTCACCTACTTGTTATTTTTCCTTTCAGGCCTGAATGACCCAGCGCCTACAGCGGTGAAGGAGACATCAGAAAACAACCAGTGGAGCATGTTTGAGGTACAAAGGAGGGTCTCGGAGGAAGGCGAGGGAGGGGTTATCATTGTGGGAGGTCTCGGGACACACTCTGTCACCTTGGAGAAACATGTGATCACACGTACAGGCAGAGGGGCAGCTGTTCCTCAGGGGAAGTTTAGCTTAGCCCTAAAATCTGGGATAGCTCTGTCTAAACAGAGTAGATATCCCTGAACCTGGCTTTCTCAGTTCCCCGTCTGACCCCCATGATGTTAGCACTTCCTTTGCTTAAATTACAGATCAGATGTAGTCCTGACATAGGCCACAGACTTTGCTGCTTGCAACACAGCACCTGTTTTTGCGGTAAATCTATCTCCCTCTGTAACAGTGCCATCTCTACAACAGGGGGTAGCAGTGAGTTAGAGCATCTACTTGTCATCTCTTTCAGAATGACCAGTTGGACCTGGATTTCTTTAATCCGAAGATGGTGACTGTTGCTTGCAACTCTGCAGGGAACCCTCTTCTCCATCACGCATCACAGACCACGTGTGGAATGTCAGTGACACTGCCTTCTGCTTTCACAGCCTCTCAGACTGCTCCCAGCATCCCAGCACCAAACTCAGCACCATTTGTATTCTCTGCTGGACCAGCTGCCCCTGCGGGGCCTCCTAAGACTATTCCAGCTGCTCCTGGGTACTTCAGCTCATCTGTGGGGAGCAATATGTCACATAAGATGGATGCATTGGGACAACTCCTGGAAGAAGCCAAAGGGTAACTAAGTGTCCTGGACTTCTCTTTTTCTCTGCAGTTAGAAAGCCAAGCTTGCTGCAGCATCAGGTCCAGAGGCAGACTTTCAACTCGCTGGTTTGGTAAAAGTGTGTGATTGGGATTTTTCTTCTCAGAGGGTTTCAGTTTATAAACTAATATGAAGGTCCCACCTCCAGGAGGGAAAGGCAGGCACTACTAGGTAGAGCACAAAAGCTGTACCGTTGCCTGATACGAATGCACAGTGTAAAGTTGAACAGGTCGCTGAGGCACAGAGGCCTTTGCCCATCTTAGCCGTGCCCACCTTGGCAAAGGTGGGACTCTGCTTTCTTCTTGACTTAGAGAAGTGATGCCTAACCCTACCACCACCACTTGCCACGTAGCTCTCCTTCTTACCTGAGACCTTAATGAGTCACAGACTCCAGTCTGGCTCCAGGCCACTGTTTTGCCCTCATGATCTGCTGTTGTCTCTGGGTTTGTGGTGAAATGCCTGCTTCACTTTCAGCTCAATTTCCCATGTGTTTTCTGTCTCTCTTCCAGGACTGCCACCCAAGGCATGGTGACACCCTCGGTGTTCCCTGGGGTAACTTTGCCAACCACTGTCACCTCTGCCCCGTTGATAGCACCTGCAGGGCTGCCAGCCACTGCCCCTGGAGCCCCTCCAGTTCCTTTCCCAAGCAGCTGCACTGCTGGCTCAGGAAGTCCTCTCTTCCAGTCGGCATCATTCCAGCAGCAAGGCAGTCCCATGAAAGCACCTGAAATTTCTTTGGCCAATGTCCATGTTCCTTTGGAATCCATTAAACCCAGTAAGTACCTCAGGTTTTTCACCTTTCTCTGAACGTTTTTTAAAAGCAAAGCTTCTTGACAAAGCTTAAGAAGTAGAGAGAAAGGATGAGATGTCCCAGCCGAACAGTCAGATTGCCTAATGTTGCTAGAGATGGTATTCTGCAGCATAAACCTGCATTCCTCTCCTCTCTCTGCGGTAGGCAGTGCCCTCCCGGTGACAGCCTATGACAAGAACGGCTTCCGGATCCTGTTGCACTTTGCCAGGGAGTGCCCGCCGGGAAGGTCAGATGTGTTAGTCGTGGTAGTCTCGATGCTGAACACGGCACCGCTTCCTGTGAAGAACATTGTGCTGCAAGCTGCTGTGCCGAAGGTAGGGATGCATGGCTCAGACCCACGGCGACATGAACCTGGGCTTTTGGGAAGGCCTGGGTGTGAACTCCAAAAGATGGGACAGCCTGGTTCTGCCTTTCTGTAGGCTGTGCTCTGCCTGTTCCCAAAGTGTAAAGGTGGTTGTAGAGGCAGAAGACACTGAATAGGATAAGTCAAGAACTGCAGGTAGTTAGTGGTCTCTTTTTTTCTTTTTGCTATCGAAGGTCAATCCAGCTGTGTCTGTTCATGAAGGTGGCTCAGATAGCACAATGACAGGACAGTTACATGGACAGAGCCACTCCTGAGGTGTTTAGAACCAGAATTTCTGACAGACATCCTAAATCTGACAATATGGTCTATTCTGGTCTTGCTGCACCTAGGTAGTTTTGGATGGCCAGCTTTGTGTTTTGAAAACTGGCCCAGTCTGAGCTATGATCTGCCTACTCTTGTGAAGGTGTTTGCATTAAAACTTCTGACAGAAGAGCACTTGGGAAGGTGCCGTTGGGGTTCACCTGACCAGTGCTTGTACCCTGGGCTGACTCGTCAGTCTGCCTGTTCCTATTGCATTGCACAAGCTGGGCTGGCTCTTGTTTCCTCATCCTCACATGTGGATTGATTCTCTTCAGTTTGGATGTGTGCTGTTATCTCTCCAACCTTTGCATGCATCCTTCATTGTCCCCAAGGTAGGAGATAATCCCTGAGGTTCCGCTTTCTTTTTTGTTTGCAGTCCATGAAAGTGAAGTTACAGCCACCCTCTGGCACAGAGCTGTCTCCATTCAATCCCATCCAGCCCCCTGCTGCCATCACCCAAGTCATGCTTCTGGCAAATCCTACAAAGGTGAGAGGGGCAGTGGGATTTATCCTGTCCTTATCGGACAAATTTGATGTAAGCTGAATCCTACAGGGGAGTTGGACCAAACATTTAAGCAGATAAAGCTGTTCATTCCTAACTTGCCCTCCAGAGGTGGTTACTGCATAATGTTGGTGTTTCCGTTCAGGGCTAAAGGAAGGCTGTACGTAGTCTCTTCCCCAGCAGGCTTTGTCAGCAAGGAAAGGTATGAGAAGGACCTGTATGTTTTTTCCAGCAACAGTCATATAAGGCTCAGCTTTAAAGGGTAGCGATCAGAGCTCTATCAGGAGTTTGTCTGACTCCCTTGTGCACTGGAAGTGCTTGGCTTTGGTGATAATTAGATTGATGTCAAATTAGCTGGTGCTGTAGAAATACTTTTGCTGTGTTGAGGCTGTAGCCTGACAGACCTGAACCAACAGACAAATGATGCATCATGTTGGTTCCATTATTCTTTGAGGATGTACCTGTGACCAGTGAAACAATGTGGTTAACGCTTTCTTTTCTGCTGATAGCACTGGGAGCATCTGAGTAGCTGTTTCTACTCATTTAAGTAGCCTGCTCCATAAAGCTCAAAGCTGTATGCTGAAGTAGTTTCTAATTATTTGACAAATCTAGATGTTACTACTTGAGAATTACAGCAAAAGGGTCCTTAAAGTATCAGCTGAAAGCTTCGAGATCCAAAACGATAAATGTCAGAGGGGTTTGGTGGATTGTTGAAAAACTTTGTGAGGTACATGAAGATCCCCTCGTTGAAGGACTGATTCCATCTCCTGCTTAGTGTTTCACTAGGAATTTTGCAGAGCAGAAACTGTTTTATCTTCCTCCACATGATGAGGAATTTAATGTTGAAAATGTTGAACTATTCCAGCAGCATTTGTCAGGCTCACTGCAGAGCAGCTGAGCAATAGGTGCTGGCCATATACGTGCAAACTATTATCACAAGTCATTCATGCTTTTCTCCTACTGTTCTGCTAAGCAATAAAGCTTTCGTGGTACAAAAAACTGTAAGGTAAGTAACTCAGGTTTGCTAAATAGCTGAACTACTCTACAAACTTACCTTGGCATTCTTCCCCCTGCTGTGTGCAACAGAAATCTTGTGATCTCTGTAGAGCTGTAACAGTGAAGTGTTTTGTTTGGGAGCTGTCGTCATGTTGCTTTTGGGTTTTGTCTTTCCTGCAGGAGAAAGTGAGGCTGAGATACAGACTGACCTTCACGCTGGGAGACCAGCCCAGTACAGAGGTTGGTGAAGTGGATCAGTTTCCCCCGGTAGAGCAGTGGGGCAATCTATGACCTTAGGACACCACCAGAGACTCTGTGACAGGACCAGGAAAGGATCCCACAGGACTGGAATGAATGTGACGTGGGGGGACACACATGCTATCCACTGGTGACGTTCAGCTTTGTTTACATGTCCTGACCACTCTGCTTGTAGCTTTAGTCCAGAATGTTTTGCCCCACGTTGAAGGGGTCCTGGGACATTTATGCTAAGCATGAACTGAGTGGCAGCCAGTAACAGGCAGTGCTGGCTGCTTTTATCTTGACCTCTGGGTGAATCTGGTTCTATCTTCCACTCTATTAAACTTGAACTTATTGTATTTTGAGGGGAGACCTGTCAGCAGAAGGGGAGTTAGTTGGCTTGTTCTGTACTGCTGTCCAGGGATACCTACAGGCTGGTGGGGTAATGATGCCACCGTGAGCTTCCTCAGTGCAGAGCCCTTACACATGCCCTTCCTCGGACTTTTACCTCCTCAGTGCCAGACTGGACCCGCTAAGCATGTTGAGCAATAATGCCGGCTCCGTGAGGGAATGCTTATTTTTTACACTGAAATGGCACTTGGCTCCCTCCCTTCCCCTCCGCTGCTTCGTTCCCTGCGGCCGACTGAAGCAGACCCTCGCTCTGTGTTGTGCGACACTGCTGTATCTTTAGTTGCTGTATTTATTTTACGCTGCTGGCTGCCTCCCTGTTGTGTCCATTTTCGGCAGCTGGGGCTGAGTTTTGTATGCAAATGGTCATACTGGTTATTTTTCTGCCTTCGTTGCATTCCATAGTGTGGGGAAAAGAGGAAGTGTGTAGTGAGGAGGTAAACGGGCTGGAAAGGAGCGGTCAGTATTGGTGGAGGACAGCACCTGGAGTGCAGAGATGTCTGTACAATCACTCATCAGATGCAGTGACTGAATCCAGGGATAAGGAGAGATGCCTCTCGTGTCCCCTCATGCAGGCAGTATTATTATTGTAGTTGAATACTGTGTTTTATTGAGATGAGTACAATGACATACAAGATGTAAATAATAGAGCTATAGGATATCTAAATAAAGCAAGCAGAGTGAAAGGAAAGAAGGCTCTACCGGGCTGTGACAATGCATGTGCTGGGTTTAATGCCCTGTTTTATTTGTTTGCTGTATTAAGAGGCTAAGTGCAATTGTCTCTGCGAGGGGGAAGGCGGTTTTGCTGGACATCAGTGTTCTGTGCTCCCAGGGGGCAGAAGAGCTGACCCCTCTAGCTACACTCTCACAGAAACTGGGTTTAAATCACTTGAACTTGACTCCAGCGGTCCCTTCCTTCTCCCTCTCGATTTCCAACCTCAAGCAGTGCCTCAATTAGCTTTGAGACAGACTGTTTTAACTTAACCGTTGGGTTTTTTTAACATCCACTGACAAAAGCACAGACAGGGTGTGTCCTTGGACACTAAGTTCAGCATTTCTAGCAGTGCTGTCAAGCACCAGCCCTTACCCAACTATGAATGGGAGCGGTCAGCTCAGGTGCTGAGAAAATCAGCAGGAGGAGCCCCCCTGCCTGTTATAGGAAGAAAACTCCGGAGGAGAAAGTGCTGCTGGAATTAATGGCGGCTGTAAAACTCATTACTGCAAACGCAGCTTGGAGTTATTATTTATAGTTTAATTTTATTTACTGTGTTGCGAAGTAAAAATCACTAGAGGTGAAAAACTGAGCGGATTCGAAGGCCTGAGGTCCTACTCGGAGGCACCAGGCAGTTGTAGAAACCCCTGAAGGTGGAACCAAAGCTTGACTAAGGAACTTGCTGTAAACTCCTGGTGTGAAGCTCATGACGATCCCAGCCGTGTCAGCTCCCCGACATGGAAGGCAGGCGAGAGGGATGGGTACGTCGTTTGGATCCTTAAAGAAAGCAGTTTTAAATCATTGGACTAGGATAGGGGACAAGGAGAGAATTCTTTCTGTCTCGGACATGTTCTTGCCGGCACTTTAGACACAGTAGGCATGGTGGTAGTGCTTAGGTCACAGTGGTGTGTCCTGAGGAAGCAGGTGTCACTGCTTTAGATGCCTACACGTGAATCTCACTGTGACGTTGAGGAAGTCAGAAGAGCACACGTGCTCTCTGCAGAACGGCTTTGTTCTCAGTGTTAACGGCAGCGCACTGCCCGCGCTGTACAGCCAAATGGGAAGATGCTGTAGTCTTGCTGCGTGGCAATGCGTTGTTAAAAGCTTTGGAAATTCAACTATGAATGTTCCTTGTCTGTAGGGTGAGGTTCCTGCTTCATACCGAACAGCCGTAACTGTATATACATCTCAAATGCATTTGTTCTGCTGCATGTTAAATAAATTGTTTTCCCTACTTTGCTCTGTGGATAACCCTTACTAATGACTGCTTGTGGAGTCCAGTGCTGTTTCTGGAAATCCTGAAACTCAGCCCATCATCTCAAGACCATCTAAACTAAGCAAAAATGGAGAAGCTGCTGTTTTCTAAAACCCCAGTGGTGTAAAAGGTGGGTTTAATTTCAGTCCTGGGTGTTGGAAGTAAAGCAACTGAAAATTAGCCAAGGTAATGCTGCCGTTGGTAATGAGGTTTCCTTTACCAGGGGAGGGTTGCCCGAGCAAGTTAGAACAAGCGACTTTAACATTTTGGTGCAGCTCCTTCTTACCAGTTGCGTTTGTATTTTTTTAAAGTTATGTTTATGGAAGGCAAGGACAAATTCCTAAGCCATATGCAAAACAAGACATTTATTCTTAGAAAAGCAGTCAGGTTTATGTACAGTGAGCCACAGAGGATGAGTAAAATCACATATTGCTGTCTTCACGATCCTTCCAACGTGCCTTCTTTGACGATGACTCGTGCAAGATTTCGTGCAAGAGCAAGTCTCAGCATTTCCACTTTCATGGTCTCAACGTCATCATCCTAAAAGCAAGCAGAGTTTGGGTTAGACTGCTACAGGCAGTAATGAGCTGGTGATAGGTTCTTGTTCTGAGTTTTGGAACCTAAGGATGCAGGACATTAGGAGGAAGAGTGCATATATATATTTACCTGTCATAGGGACCTCCTGAGAAGAGCAAAATTTACATTTCCTACTTTTAGATCAACACCAGACAGCACTGCCAAGCCTTTTCCTTTTCTGGCAGCTGCAGGGGTTTGCATGTGGAGCAAATGGCTCCCTGTTCTGCGCCTGGAACGTTTCATAGCTTGAGCTGTTAGATGGCAGCACCTCAGCTTTTCGTTGCCCATGTCATTTGCAATTATTTATCTTGGAAAAGCATCACAGTCCAATCCAAATCAGCAGAACAGTGAGGAGTGGAAGTACTCCTATACTGGGTTTGTGTGTACTTAAGTATCTCTTGATGCCTCCTTTGGCTGGCCTTTACAAATACCAACACATGCCAGCCTCGGGAACTGGGCCTCTCCCTCTTTTCTGCCCCCATGTAGGGATATAAATTTAGAGTTTGCTTTCCCTGACCCTTCCCACAGCCCCACCGATTCATTATCCAGTTGTCCTCAAAACAGGAGCTACCTGGAATTTCTGCTTATCCGATTTCTGTGCTGTCAGGTCCTCCAGGCATCGCATCAACTCATAAGTCTGCTCTGCTGAAAATATGACCTGTGGAAATCAAAGTATTTACTGAGAATGATCAAGCTTAAGGACATCACACAGTCTGAGAAGGTAACTCAGTTGAGAGGAACGGAAGGCTTTCACACTACCACAGATCCATTCTGACCCTTTAAATCACAGGATCAGAGGACAATTCAGGCTGGTAGTGACTTTGGGCAGTCTCTAGTGCCACCTCCTGTGCAAAGCAGGGCGAGGTATGAGGTCAGAGCGGGCACTCTGGGCTTTTTCCAGTCATAGGTCTGTAATTGCTAAACTGTCATATTCTTGATGGATCTTAAAGCAAAAAAATTGGCTTGGAAGAAGGAAGCACAGTAGAAAAATCTTCAAGCCAAGTACCAGAAGGAACTGGATGCAGCGTGTACTTAAATTATCAGCATATATGTATTCCACTGCTGTTTTCTAAAAGCAGTGAACCAAGTTAAGAGTCGATTATCTTTATCCTGGGTCCTGTGTGCTCCCCCCTGACAGGACACTTGGACAGCTGCGCACTTCTGGAACTGCCGTGAACAGTTCTTTTGCACTGGAAGGGCAAGTCCTAGCCTGGGGGCAGAAAGGGGGTCACTCCTTTGAGATACCTCGTCAGGAGGAAAAGAAAGGGGTGAGGGGGGTGGCTCTTTGTCTTGCATGACCAGCCTGCTCACCTCTTTCTGCTCCAGCAGGGGAAGGGCATCTGTCAGTAGGGTCATCCAGAAGGAGCAAGGAGCAATGTGAGCCGTCATCAGCATCAGAAGCAACCTGGCAGCTTCAGAGAACCGCTTCTCCCCATAGAGCCGGTGGAATTCTCGGTACTTTCCTTCACATGGGTGCGGTGAAGGGTAAAAGGCATTAGCGTCTGTCAGACCTGGGTTACTGACGGGAGGAGGTCCCTTTGCTCCCTTGAAGCCTGTGGTAGAACTACCCCTACCTGAAATGAGTCTTCAAAGCAGCCAAGTCTGGGGAATGGGAATCTTGTGCATGAAGAAAGGTTTAAATAGAGGCTGGCTGAAAAGGCAGCCAAAAACCTGATACTGTTCCTGGTAAGGTTTACTGCTTGAACCAGCCTGTTCGCTAACTGATACTGTCTGGTGCTGAGTGTTTGCACGGTGAGCAACAGCAAGAGTGGCTTAGAGAGACCGGCGGTGTCTGCAAAAACCAGGAACGGGAGGGGAGAGGTGGGGATGAATGTTCTTTTTGACATCACAGAATATCAGGAGGTCTGAAAGGGTTCATTGTCTTCCTGATAGTTTAAATGGAAACTGAGACCTTTGTTAATGTGGAAAGTTCTGCTTTTGTTAAGAATTAGTTAGATCAATATCCAGCACGTGAGAACTGGCCGAGGATGAAAGTGAGTTTTATTCTGTGGCTTTGTTTATATCCACTAAACTGTCAAAATACTGGAAGTAATGATTCCCATTCAGATTCACCTTTGACTAATGCTTGAGCTCAAGATAGAGACATGGGAAAGTTGTCCAGCAAAAATACACCTGATGTTTCTAAAAACTCCAAAGGAAAAACAAGCAGAAATATTTTCAAGCCTTTCAGGATTTTTTAGAAAAAGTAGAAAGGGAGGTAATTTCTCTACAAGCACAATTTATAAACACAGTTACCCAACTAAACTACAAACCTTTGGGGCTGATGCAAGGGTCACTGCATGACATTGGGCATACAGAGACAGGGGGGATTACTGATTTGGTAAGGCACGGTTAGCTCCTAGGCTTCATTTAGGGTAAGGTCTGAATGAAGGAAATACAGTTCCAGTTTTGCAAGCTTGGACTAAATGGGAACAGATCAAGTTCAGGATCACCCTCACTGTAACGCTGGTGTCAGCCAGAAGGTAGTCAGTCCAGTTGCCAACAGCTATTCCAAATTTCTATTAGATTTTGGCCCCAGGAATTGGGCTTGCTAACTGCCACAGGTCCAGAGAAAGGTGCATTTTAGCTCAATTTCCTGTCTTGTTCCATTAATCAAAGGCCACA